AAACTATATCAAAGCTTATAAAAATGGTGAAACTATATCAAACACTTAGTAAAAATTTAGCAAAACTAAAGGTTTAGATGTTTAACTAAATCCAAAATGAGTTTAGACAAGCAACCTTACGTATTCCCAATTTATATTTATATATCCTCAACATTTCCTATACTTATAAATTGATAATTCAATAGTTTTATTAATGTGAACAAATTTTTAAGATTATTAAGTTAAATTATTGTTCTTCAGATATATTTAACCTTGTTATACATATTGAAATCTATTTTTAGCAGTAGACTTTAAAATAAACTTGTATAATAGTATATTATAAATTAGATAAATTACATATTATTATTATTATATATTATTGTTTACTAAATAACTAATAAATTTACTACAATACTAATACAATATATATAATACATTAATACATTAATAATATAGTGAAGAAAAAAATCAAAAAATCATTTTTTAATGTGATAACATAATTAACATAATCAACATAATCAATTTGTTTTACATAAAAAATTTTTTGTTAATAAAATGAGACATATAGAAAAAATACTTTTAAAATATTCAAATGTCAGAAAAATTATTGATCTAAAGACTGTAGTATGTATATGCAATAAAAAAATTTATCTTAATAGAAATTATGATCCAGATCTTTTTGATATTTATTTAAAAAAAATTTTTTTTTTAAAAATATTAATTATTTATAAAAGTAAATCAAAAGAGAATTTAGTAAATAAGCAAATAAATTTGCATGTGAAACACTATGATCTAAAAAATAAATGATCCATAAATATCATAATATTTTTTTTTTTGATTAAATATTTTTTATTTTATAATAAATAATAAAATTTTGTTAATATGAGATTTTTTTGATTCAGTTACAAAGTTATTTATAAGATTATTAAGCTTAGTTCATTATCTGGTTTTATTTTTTAAATGATATAAACTTAAAACAAATGAAATCCTTAATATTCTTATCAAAATCCATTAAATTATATGTAATTTAAAAAAAGAATTGGTTATAATAGTATTATTTTTTATGGCTATTTAAATAAAAAAGAATCATAAAATATAATATATTTATTATCTTTAACTTTTTAACTAAACTATTTTGAATTTTTTTTTTTTCCTTTTTTTGTTTAAAAGCAATAGATTGAACGGATTACTTTTTTAAAAAATATTATTATTTTATTTTGCTTTTTTTTATATAATACTATTTTGATAAATGGCAGTAAAATCACATTACGGATCATATGATTTACTATGCCTCATGACTTGATTTTACTGGAAACGTTCCCAAATATTAGTATCAAGAAATTTAAAAATTTAAATCTAATAATTTAATTACATGATATTTATTAGTAAGGTTAAAATCTCAGATTTTAATATTAATATTAATATTTTTATTTTTTAATTAGATAAATATAAAAAGAAATAAATTCAAAATCAAAGATATATTCATTTATTTAAATTTAAAATACGTTTTAAATTAATTTTTAAACAAAACAATACAGTTCGCCATATATAACTTGAATCTGTCACTTCATATGAAAATATCGCAAATTTTATTTTTTATTTATCAAAATTCATACCATTGATAGTTTATGACATATAGTTAAACATACTTTAAAAATTAATAGTATATACGTATACCCTTTTTATAACCCTCCTAAACCGATCTGATATGCTATCTGCTAAATTATCCAAATCCAAGTTTTTTTTTTCCCCCAATCTAATCCTTAAAAGCTTCCTTTACGTTTACTCTTCCTTTGAGCATAGTAATAGGTTCTCAATCGGATTTAAATCTGGAGAGTTTTATTACAGAACAATCAATCACTAGAACTTCATAATTCACAACACGGGTAAGTTTCACAGTATGACTTAGTATATTATAATTATGGAAGCATTAGTTTTGATTATAGTTTGAAAAGTTAGAACGACGGTACCTCTTTTTGCTAACGATAAAAATTCCGGATAATTATGTCGCAAACTGTATAAAATTCTCAAAAAAAATAGATGTCAAAATGATCCCACCGCAGTATTACTTACTAAAAATGCCGGAGCAACTCTTAATAAACAAAAAAAAAATTGCATCATTCGGTTAAACTAAAATTTTCTCATTTTATCCATTTTAAAATTCTTTTTGTAAGAGAGAAAAAAAAAGAAATAATTTTTCTTTAAATAATAAAAAAAAAACATCTGATAATATTTTGTAATTATAATCATAGCTAATCAATCACTGTACGAAGGTATAAATGTATGTGATACAATCATTATTTGACTACAGTATACGGAAATCACCAATTCAAAAATTTCAAAATAGTTAATAACCAATCACCTAAAGTCATCTATTTGTTCCATTACTACGTTGGATTTATGCCTAGTAACAAAATAATGGACTTCGAAAGTATTCATTACACCAAATTCAAGGTTCGCAGTATCGGCAAAACCTACTTTTGGTATATTTGAATAAGGTGGGAAAATTTTTATTTTCGTATTGTTGTTACTCCGGACAATAGTCATTCATAAAATACTTTATTCAATCAGGCAAAGAGATGTATGTATACATGGTTAAAGGGGCTAGTTGCAGTTTTATTTGATTAATTAAAAAATTCAAGAAGACGGCGGAAGAAAGTTTGCAAATGCCGCGTTTTAAGGGAGGAGACATTAAATTATAATTAAAATATTAATTATTGACGTTATCTAAAAGTTTTTTTTTAGTGTGTAAATATTATGTACAAAAGTTGATTGAGACAAAATAAAAAATTATATACAGAAAGAAAAAAAAAAAGAAAAAAAAAAATATTAAATGAAAAATAATTGTAAGGTTGACGAGAATTAATTAAAAAAAAAGAATTTTAGCTGAGAGAGTGTCTTGATTATTTGTTCATAAATAGTGATTGCTTAGATCCCCTTAAAGGATGAATTTTTTTTTAAAAAAAAGAAGAAGCATATGATGGAGAAGGACATTGGAATATCGATTACCGCATTTACCGTTTTGATCGTTGGATTATGGATTAAATTTCGATTTCATAATTTTTTTGATGGTCATATTGAAAGAAAAGGATTTTTAAGTTGGGTAAGTACATTTATATTTTTATGTGCATAAGTAAAGAAAGAATGTTTCTTAGAAAGTTTATTCATGTGGATTTTTTTTTAGATTTTGATTTTTTTTTTTGTATTTTTTTTTTTTTATTTTTCATAAAGCGTTTACCTTCAAAGGAAAAAGGATCTCAGAGTGGGGATTTAAATAATAATCGAAAAGAAATTCTAATCAACTTATCAAATTAATAACAATAACGATAATTAATAATTAATCAAGAGATCAACGCGATAAGGGTCATATCAATACAAAAAAAAATAAATGCCAAATTAATCTATCTATATGTTGTAATATTATTTAAACAAATATGTAAAATAAAATGAAGATCAAAACAAAAATTAAATTTTGATTTGAAATAAAAAGAAAAAATAAATTTTATTTATGTATTGTGGAAAAAGTTTAGTTTTATTTGGATAAATTAATTGAAAATTACAAAAAAAAAAAAGCTTTTCAATGTCGGGGATGTCGGTTTTGCGCGCGATTTACTACGCATGAGTTATTTCCCGCTGGTTTGCCGGTCGATCACATGCTATCATTGAATTACTATTCAAGGTGACTAATCCTGGCAAACAATACCTACGCGGCTTCCCGAGCCAAGCGAAGGGGTCCGTGATTGTGCGGATGTCTATTGTATGAGGACCGATTAACCATTTATCATTGACAATATATGACACTATCAATATAGCCATTTAAGATATTTGCCTTTTTTAGTATGGTGAGTTCGGCACTACGACATACTGTATATTCTCCCATTTTTAAGGTCTGTCGATCTCATTAAACGTTAAAAAATTTGTAATGAAAATATCGTTGACCAAGAATGATCGTACCAAATTAATTTAAATGAACTTTTTATTTTTTTTTTAAGCAATATTTTGTGTAAAAAAAAAAAATCAATAATCGTCATTACGCACTAAAGGTGTTTATCTATTGATACACAGATGAATCATAAAAAGATCTAAAAAGTGGTAAGACGAAAGTTAATGTTTTGGAAGGGTAGATGCTTTGAAATGAATTTATATATATATATATACATGAGTATAAAAGAATTTTTTTAAAAAATATTATTTCTTTATTTGTCTATTAAATTACTAATTATTCAAAAACTTTTGATGAAAAATATAAACAAGAGAGATCCCATGAAAAATGTGATTTTTTTTTTATAGTTATTTTATATAATTTATTCTATACAAGACCATAACATTCTATTCGTCATTAGAGACCAAACACAAAGGTAATTATCTTCAAAGATGAGTCCCTTTTGAATTTGTTCTAATTTAGCCTTTGGTCTTAAACTTGATAATGCTTTTAAATATTTCCTATCACCCCAAACAACATAACTTAATTCCAACACTTTTACAAAATCATTTATTTCAAAGTCTCCGATATTGTGAAAAGGCCATCCCTCACCATCTTTGAGTGCGTAGGACAAGATATAATCCACCGACTTTTGTAACGTTTGACCGTCATCACCCACGTAATTCCATGATTCTTTAAATCCATAATGATCAGCTCTCTCGGCTAACAGGAATAATGCTTGAATATTAAATATAGAATAATGCCAGCTTAACATCCTCTTGGTTTCATAAGGTTGTTGTCCGGTTGGTAATATACCTATATTTATTCTATTCATCAATGCTTGTTTGGAATAAGCGCGAGCTTCTTCGTCACGACCCAAGAAGGATAAAATAAATGTGATTTGTACATCGTAATGGGTACCATGATTGTTCAACCCTTCCGTCTTTGCCTTTCGTCCTATGGTTGATGTTGTTAACCAAAAGTAATATTCGGAAAACCATTGACGTAAATTCCTTTCCACGGCAAAATCCCATTTGGATGAGGAACGCATCAATGGTATCGATTGCAACATTTTAAATATGGGTCGTATATCCAAAACTCCCGTTCTTCTGCCAATCTTGTCACCTCTTCTAAATCCGGCGTAATTTAGATTTGGATTCATTCTTGTCTTCTCATTAATGAACCATTCATCGATTCTATAAATCGCCTTCTCAACGTAGGTATGATTATTCGTGAAAAAGTAGGCGAATCCGAGATTTTCAATCTCTTTGAATAAATTACGCATCAAAGTATAATCTTGTATGGTATTGATTTCTGGGTTTTCAATTCCATCAATTCTAACATAAGGTAATCCGTTAGGTTTATCTGGATTGGGCCAAAAATATCTAGAGAGTGACATGTAATCGTGCGGATCTTGGGAAGGGGGTAAATCTTTCTTCAACGTAACCGAGTATACATTATTGTTTGCAACTATTTCATCCGCCAATTCGACCAAGTTGGTCAACATTTCTTGATGTTGACTTTTTAGTACCTCAAGGTAATTGATGTAATACTGTTCTTTAACGTACTCCCTTTCACTACCATTCTCATCGGTCATCTTATCAATCTTATCGGGAGGTATTGTAAAAGGTTGATCATAGTATTGTGTTGGTATTGGGGGATTTGTCGATGTAACAACGGTCAACGCTTCATCTCGAAGCTGAATCCAAAAGATGGATGATAAAAGGAAACACATAATTACAAGGGTTAACAACGGTGATATTCTACTTGTAGGCATCTTTTTTAACAATAAAAAAGAAAGTGAAAAAAATATTTTCTTTTTAATAAACCCAAAGGAATGGAAAGAAAAAGAATGAAAGTGTTGAAGGGGAAAAAAAGAAAAAAAAATGAGTTTTAATAAGAAAAAAATAATTGTTATTCACATTGTCAAAGTTGTATTTATTCAAAATTGGTACGCATATGACCTGACGAATGAAAAATTTCCCTTATTTATATTATAATATGTAATGCTTTTTTGCATACCTGTTAAAAGGAAAGTTCAAGTAATATAATTATGTGTTCTATAAATATATAACAAGGATTTTCGTCCATTCGGTTCTTCCAAATTTGTGTCGAACAAATTAATTGCGGTCGTCATTTTGGTGGCGCAGTGCGTCAAATCGAAACCTCATTTGGACTTGAACGAGTATCACGACATTTTATCTAACTTTATTTATTCGACAAACTTTGGAACTTAAAAGAAAAAAAAAACATTAAATTTTATGATGTATATCTTTGTTAACCAGATTTACAGGAGTGAGGAATTTGTAAAGAAATTTTCTGAAACTGTTAATCTTGCACGTGATACATGAACAACGGGAGAGAATATGAATTTTTTTTTTTTTTTTTAACAACGCCAAATAATTAATAATTTCGACCGAATTGTGTTGTTATACTTTTTTTCTTTTATTATATTTTTTTTTTTTTTTAGGAAAAAAAAAAGGGAAAAAAAAGGAAAGTTCCATGTCGTAAGTGTGACAAGTTTCGAGAAATCACTCGAATTTTTTTATCGTGACAACATCGAGGGTCCTCCCGCATGAAAAATTTCATCACATCAACCGAATCGACGAACCCCGCATTGATTGATCTACTCATTGACCATATAAAGTACGATAGTCAGTCATTTTGAAATCCCATAATTCTAAACTTTTAGCGAAATTTATTTAAATATACAGCGTTTTGCTGAAGCCATTTTCCCTTATCCTCTCTTGCCTATTGGCTAAGATCAAGTGTAGTATCTGTTCTTTTCAGTCTAATATCTGAAACGTTACACACTGTGTAACTTTGATATTAAACGAATTTTTAGAATTGGGAATAGGGTCCCTGGGCTTGCCTACACCTTGTTCCGGAGTGTCCCTAGTATTGCAGTATATCTAGGTGACGCTCACATTTTAGAATTACTAGCGGGTTGGGAAGGAAAGTGGGAGTGAGAAATGTGCCAAGCCTTATTAATAAATTTAATAAAAATGCATGCGAGTCACGTGATCGATTTAATTCTATCTAAAACGGGAATATTATAATAAAAAAATAAAAAATTTTTTTCCTTAAAACTAACGCAAAACGGTACGAGTCAAAAATTTCGGAATAAATGTGAATGGTGCCAAGGAGTTAATCAATCCTCTAGTATGACAATGCGGCAATTCTTTAATTTTTTCGATCTAACTTTAAAAGAAATTTATCTATTCCTCGATCAAGTTTTTGTGCGAAAATTATAATTGATGATGAACATAAATAATATTTTTTAGAAACGCGTGCGGTTTCAGTGGTTATCGTGGTTAGAATACTTTTTTTTTTTAAAAAAAAAAAAAAAAAAAAAAAAAAAAATTTAATGAATCGTAATATCTTTATCATATCAGTCATTTGAATTGTTTATTGTTAATTGCCATAATGAGCGTTCCGGAACACTTTTTTCATCCTGAATATCCTATTTTACATAGAAAGAGATAAAGGATGAGGATGAAAAAACGTGGCTTTTGTCTAATTTAACGTAACCGGGATATATAATTTCCCTTTCAGGATAACAAGAAATCTATGCACGTGACCATCGTAAAATGAGCCGGTGTTACAAACAGAGGATGTTCGGCCGTTGTTAAAATGATTGGGAATCTTTCAAACGATAATCGAAAAGTTTCGATGTTCGGAACAACTTTTCAAGATTCCACCGCCTCGGCGTATTAAAGTATGAAGAGATGCACCTTTTTCTTTCGGAACAAATCTAAATTCGAAATGATGTACTTTTTGTTTATATTACAAAAAAAAAAAAAAAACGAGTTTTTCCGGAAATAACACGAAAGAATTCTATAAAGAATTTACCATTTATGATATCTTACATCTCTAGCGACTTGAATCGAATTAGTGTATTGATAATTCATCTTTTAATCGTTTAAGATTTATACGAACTAAGATTGTCAATTTCAAAAAGAAAATAAAAAGAAAAAAGAATGTGAAATTTATGCAGAATTTTATATACAAACAACAAACCGATTTTTTCTGTGATATTATTATATCAACATAAATAATAGGAATTGACCCCAATTGACATTAGAAGCCAAAGGTATATTTATTTTTTTGTAAATAGCAACGAATTTCACCCACGTGACCTCTTGTACTGTGCCGGCCAAATCACGTGACACTTTTAAATGTTATCTCAGTTATTAAATAATAGCAACACACTTTTTATATAATCATATAAAATCTAATGTCCTTTTTCACAATGTCCATTGTGGATTGTTTTCTTCATAAATCCAACAAACTCTTTCTTGGATTTATTTGAATAGTCCTTATACAGTCATGTTTTCTTTGACTGTAAGCAAATCTTATCTTTATTAATTATTTCCATTATTTGCTTTGAAAAATATTTTCATTTTTAATACCTATTTTAGATTGAAGTACAAAAATTATTATTGCTTTATTAAGAAACACCTTTACATATTATATCAAACAATATAAAATAATTCAACCCCCAAATTAATGATATCATGTGACCTGAATCTCGATCGGACAACATTAAATTAATAAAATACGCATAATACTTCATTTAAAAATAATTAAATAATTTCTTGTATTACTTTGTACCTTCCTTTAGTTCATAAATTACAATATTGTTTATTAATTATATTGTTATAACATCATTAATAATATATAATAACCATAATAATAATAATATCATATTTAATTAATTAATTGTACGCCAAACCCTCTCGCAACTTTAAAATTGTAATTTCCGGTAATCTCCAAAGTCTCTAATTTACCATCATTATTTACGCATCCTTGCAAGAATTCTTTCAGTGTTTCGACGCTTATCGGCGTATCTTTAAATTGAATCTTGAATTGAATCTTTTGCACGCTATTGGGAACAATTGTACTAATCGACTTCAAATATTTTCCCAATTCCCCATCATCCAACAATTCGGTACTAAAATAAATCAATTCCGTACATGATTTGAAAATGAAAATTAATTCTCTTGGAAATAATTTCGGGAGTTCTAAATGATTTAACGAACCTAAATAAAGTGGAATTTGTTTGATTGATTGAAATCCTTGATCATGGTCTCTTTTATAACATAATACTAACTTTTTTAAATTAGTTGAAGAGGATTGAAAGACTGCATTTAATAAATCTACAGCGACGTATAACTGAGGATAAGTTACTGCCTTGTACTCAAAAACTTCAAGATTGGTTAAACTTTTCGTCCATAATTGTAATCTGGAACCGAGGAACCTACATTTATTTATTCTCAATCTTTTAAGATTTTTAAGTGAACATAGTGATCTCAAGGCTACCTCATCAATATGCTCAAAGGATAAATAAGTAAATTCCAACTTTTCTAACCATTCTTTGTGTGAGGATAATGAATTCAGCACGACATTGTACCATCCGAATACTTTGGCATTGCCGATCCTAGGAAATCCAACTATCACATCTTCTTCCGATAATATGATGTTTTTTAATTTTCTTTGTGAAGAAATTAATGAGGACAACGATTTCGCTTGTTCAAGTGATATTATTTTATTGTTATGAATCAATTCGAGGTTTAAAACCGATTTGGAAAAGGTGGTGTAGAGTTGCGTTAATTTGGGATTATCTTTTAATGTTAATTCGGCTCCAGCATGTCCAGGACTCGTGCAATATAATTTTTTTAATCCGCTTAAATTTCTTTCGTTAGGAAAGGATGTTAACATTTCTATGGGATCAAAAACCGGCTTTTTATTATCCTGGATATAAGGGTTAATCTCCAAAATGGTTAACCTATTACAATGTTCACACAAGTATTTCACAAAGTAATTAATTATTGAACAACATAACACTTCTGACATTGTATTTGTGTGCTTGTAAGATGGCATCCAAATGTTTTTATGGGCAAATGTAGAATTAGCCACAAACAGTTTGGCATCAAAGTGTAACTCACGAATACATCCAATGTAATCAAATATTGGAGAACCTTTTGAAGGATGATAAATAGATTGGTTGGACGAATCTTTTGCATCGGTGGGAAAAATTATTGTCATTATTTCGGATTGAGGGATACAAGTTAATAAAGTTCTAAGCAATTTATAATAATCTAGAGCGTCCTTTTTTTTAAGTTGAATTTTCTTATTGTTCAAGTGACGAAAATTTCGAAACGGATATCGATACAAGAGTGGTGTTGCGTTTTGAAACCAGTATCGCGAAACTAATGTGCAAGAATATAAATCTGCTATCTTGTATGCGTTGGTGGAAGTGGAAAATGTATCATGCGAGAGTTCGAGCAGGTTCAAAAAAATTTTTTCTAAACATTCTGGAGGTAAAGGTGGCGTCATTTTTTTTTTTTTTTATTTATTTAAAACAAATGTTTAAAAAATATTAAAAAATAAAATGAACTTGGATAAATTTTTTCATGATATATATATTCAAGATTACTGCGCCACGTTAACGGAGATAAGCATCCATTTAACTTATAAGTATTCAAAATTTCTAAATGCGTCAAAACCTAATCGTTTGATTTTTTTTTTTTTACAAAATAAATTAAAATTATTGGGAACAAACTTATCACTCTCTTTTTTACATATTATTTCTATATTAAGCTTATTGTCATTTTTTGTCGGTTAGATCTTACTAAAAATATTTAGACCATGGATAATTTTACAACTGTACATAAAATTTAATGTATATTTTAATTGCATATGTGATTATTGTACGACAATATTGAATATAAAAAGAAACTAAGTCAAACTGTGCCTCTTTTATTTTTATTCTCACGATTTTTGATAGATTTTTATTTTTTTCTCCTCTTGTCATCTCATCCCCTTTTTCCGATGATTTTTTGACAAAAAATTTTTTTTTTTTTTTTTTTTTGATTTCTTTCTCATTTGAGTTAAAACTTTTTTTTTTCGATTTCGATTTTTTTTTTTTTTTTTTTTTTTTAAAAAAAAAGAATGTCTTACATAAAAGTTCCACATGATCAAAAACCACCAACCAAATCTAATGCATCTTCCATTAATCAACATCATAATATCCAACCCATTTATCACCAATCAATATCACAACTTCTCGAATCTTCAAGGAAAACTCATTATGAAGAGAAGAAACCTACAATATTGTCCCTTAACGCAACATGTGAATTATCTTGGTCGCATTTGGTGCACGGCGAGATCATTGCAGTTACAAGTGCAATGAGAAAGAATTCAAGGTGGTCTGGTATGAGCGTTAGTAGCTTGAATATGGGTGGGTTGGGTATAAGTATGGGTTTAAGAGGTGGTAGAAGTTCAATTAATGAAAATGATTATAGAAATCAGTTAAATGTAATAAATTGTTTTTAAAAATATTTCATTTGAAGATTTTATCATATGAATGCTATAATTAATTAAAACTTTTACAATGTTAGGAAACCCCGTTAATGAGTGGATTTACCTCACTTAGAGTACAACTCTTCAACATGTCTGGTATTTAAATTTTTTTTTTTTATAATTTAATATATATATATATAAAATAATTTATTAAAATGATTGATTAAATCCTTCTTAGAGGAGACAGGGATTGATGCGGTGACTTTGCTGGATCCTTTTCTAGATGTGATTAAATCGGGAGATACCAATGGACCAATAACAGCAGCTGCATTAGGAAGTGTGGAAAAATTTTTGACTTATGGCATATTAAATATGAATTCGACAAATTTACCAGTAGCAATGTCGATGCTTTCATCAGCTGCTACACATTGCAAATTTGAAGCAAGCGATTCTGTATCCGATGAATTTGTGTTATTAAAAATTTTACAAGTTTTGAGGTTGACATTGACTTGTGAAGTTGGTAAAGTTCTTAGCGATGAAGCTCTTTGTGAGATGATGGAAACTGGCCTGAGCATGTGTTGTCAAATGAGATTGAGTGGTAATATATATATATATATGCATTGATTTTGTTTTGATTGATTGATTGATTGATTGATTGATTGATTGATTCATTGATTCATTGATTCATTGATTTGAATTAAATTTTATCATGTTATTACTACTTTTAAGAAATGTTGCGCAGATCAGCTGAACACACAATGGTCGTTATGGTGCAAACTATGTTTGAGAGGTAGAGATTTCTAATGTATTATATCTATTTACTTTTGAATTCGTAACATGGTAATAACATCTCGATATTGAAATAATAGACTTAAATCACTAGAGATAGAACATGCAAAAGGTTATTTGCAGGAAGAGGGAGATGGAGAAAACGGTAATTTACTGGATAATACACAAGTGCGCATGGCTACACCCGATCCAAAATCTCCTCGTCTTCCCCTTTCTTCAGAATATGATGTCACTGAAATACCAAATCATCATTTAGCTAGTGCAATTACATTATCGCCTTCCGTGAAACATGATGAAAAGGATTTTGATACATTGGATGATGGACAGGACGAATTGGTTGAACTAGATGAAAAAGGTGAAGAAGTTATTAATAATAATAATTTGATCCAGGATAAAGAAAAAGGTAGTTAATTTAAGGATTATAGTGTGGATTTATGTTGTGGCATTTGTTAATGTAATTATTGATGTTTATCATGGGATTTCATTATTCAAGCCCAAGAGCAAGAAAATGAGAATTCGAATGAAGATGAAAAAGACACAGGTTTGTCAATTTTATTTTTGATTTTACATATATATATATATATTTTTTTTAAAAAAATTAAATGGAGATGATTTATTAAAGATTATTAATTAATATTTACAGATCCAAAACCATTCGGATTACCTTCAATAAGAGAATTACTGAGAGTCCTTATCTCCTTGCTTAATCCACATGATCATCAACATACTGATACGATGCGACTTATGGCTCTTAGTATATTAAATGTTGCGTTTGAAGTTGGCGGTCGCACCATAGGACGATTTGAAACTTTACGTCATCTTGCCGTTGATGAATTGTGCAGGTTTCTATTCCAGGTAAGCTAATTTTTTTTTTAAAAAAAGATAATGAGATATGTAAATAAGCCTAATATTTCATTCTTTCAACCTTTGAGCTTGCACGAACTGATAATATGACATTATTATCACTTGCACTCCGTGTCATATCAACTGTATTTGGAACTCTCCGTCCATATCTAAAATTACAACAAGAACTATATTTGTCATTCTTAATTGAAAGATTAACACCACCTGCAAGTAATTTAAGGTCACTTGGAAATAGTAGCGGAGATTCGCCACATCTATCAGGCTCTTCAACACCTAGTATAGTTCGTGAACGTAATTTACGTGCAACGGGTGAAACCTCTGTTGCCACAGGTGAAATAAGGGAACTTTTATTGGAATCTTTAGGTCAATTTGCAAGAGATCCATCATTTATGGTTGATTTATGGGTTAATTATGACTGTAATATTGACTGTGGAGACCTTTTTGAAGATATTATCAAATTTTTGAGTAAGGTATATAGACGAAAAAGATGATCTTTTTAGTTATTTATTTTTTTTACATGAAGGATTAATTCATTTCTCCCCAGAATTCATTTCCCGATTCTACCGGATATTCTATAAGCAATTCTCATGTTGTTTGTTTGGATTCTCTTTTGATGTATATAAATCATATGGTTGATAGATTACAGACCGAGGTATTTGATTTAATAATTATCTGGCAGTTTTAATGAAACGACTTAATTAGAAAAATTTTAATAAATAGATGTATATTTTTTTAAATTTAAAATAGAAGAATAAATTATATACATATGGATTAGAATGGGATCAAATGACGGCGGCAGATTACAATTCTGGATTAAGACCTGTGGTATTTATATGATAATGGATTGTGATTGATTGATTGTATTTGATTAAATTTACATAAAAATAGACGTATCCATCCGCAGAAGAACTTTTGCAAAGAAAACAAAAAAAACAAATATTAAGAGAAGGAGCCGCAAAATTTAATGAAAATCCAAAATCTGGTCTTGGGTTTCTTGAAGGTAGATTGAAATGACAGAAATAATAATTCCATGAAATACAAGCTTTTATTAATAATTTTAAAAATTACCTTTTATGTAGCAAATGGTCTAATATATAATGATCCTTCTATTGACAAGAATACAAGTCTTGCCTTATTTTTGAAATCTACACCTAGATTGAATAAACAATTGTTAGGTGATTATTTGTCAAAGCCTGCAAATATAGATATATTGAAAGCTTTTGTTAGATTATTTAATTTTGAAGGAGTAAGTCAAATAAAATAATTATTTTGTTACATAGGTAAATGTTTACTAACCGTTTAATTAAATTAGAAAAGAGTTGATGAGGCATTAAGAGAAATGTTGGAGGCTTTTAGATTACCCGGAGAAGCGCAACAGATCGAAAGGATCATGGAAACGTTCTCAGTAACATATTTTGAATCTGGGTCAAGTAAGACTACATTACCGAAATTTTGAATGTCTCATTTGTTGTCCCTTATTTTGCAAAATTATAATAATATATATATATATATATTTAGCCGAAATAGAAACTCAAACAGCCACCTTTGTTTTGGCATACTCTATTATTATGTTAAATACTGATTTGCATAATCCTCAAGTTCGCGTAAGTACACTTATTCGGTATTTCATTACAATAAAATTAAAGATATATTTATTTATCTTTTTATTTTTTTTTAAAAAAAAATATTTAGCGTCGAATGACGATTGAGGACTATATGAAAAATTTACGAAAAGTTAATAACGATAAAGACTTTGCTCCTGAATATTTGGTTAGTTCGTGAATATGATTTAAAAATTTTTTATTGTTTTTTTTTAAAAAAAAAGGCGTTCTAAATAGTTGATTTAAAATATCTAGCATGCTATTTATGATGCAATTAAGAAAAAAGAAATTATTATGCCTGAAGAACATGAAGGACAGCTTGGGTTTAACTATGCTTGGAAAGAACTTTTAAGGAGAGCCGAAAGCGCGGGTAATTATAATATTTTTTTTAATCACGAGATAATATAAATAGTTAAATATTTAAAATTTCTAAGTCTATTATTTCTTTGTAATTTAGGACCGTTGATAATATGCGATGTATCCTTGTATGATAAAGATATGTTTACCACAGCATGGAAACCTACAGTTGCAGCTATTTCGTATGGTAATTTTTTTTTAGATTTTTTATTTTCCTTTAAAAGTTGAGTTAATTCATCATTACTAAATTTTGATTATTATAAAAATAGCATTTAGTACAGCTCCAGATGATACAACATTGCAAAAAGCAATAACAGGATTTCATCAATGTGCATTATTGTCGGCAACATATAAATTATATGACGTATTTGATTATATTATAATGTCATTAGCTAAAATGACCGGGTTATTAGGACCAAAATACAGTAATGAAACAGCTAATAATCCAACCGTTACAATACAAAATATCGAATTAACTGTTAGTGATTTAGCAATTCAATTCGGTAGAAATTATAGGGGAAAAATAGCAGCTGTTGTATTGTTCGCTGTTGCTAATGAACATGGGAATATTTTAAGAGACGGATGGAAATATGTAAGCGTCTAAATATAAAAAAAAAATTTTTTTTTTTTGGTTTTAAAATTAATTGTCATATTATTTTGATAGTTATTAGAAATTATAAAGAATTTATTTGTGAATTCTTTATTACCAAGTAGTATGTTAAAAGTTGAAGATTTCTTGGCGGGTACAACAACAATACCATTAAAACCAAAAACTGCATCAGTAAGACAAGAACGAAGAAATGATGGATCATTATTATCGGCATTATCATCATATTTATTATCACCTTATGCCGGTAATTATGAATCTTCTAGAAGTGATCCAACGGAGGAAGAAATCGACAATAGCATGTGTACTGCTGACTGTGTTAAAGTTTGTAGATTAGAAGAACTTTTTGCTGATATAAGGTAATTTATTCACAAGATTTTTCTTTGTATTGTAATAGCGTTAAAACAATTTAATTTTGATAATTATTTTATAGATTGTTGGAACAAGAATCACTTGTACACTTAATGAAAGCACTAAAGTTTATTGCAGATGGAAATACCGCGACTAAAGTTGGAGATACTAAATTATCGTATCAATATTCCCCGTCACCAATTTTAGGTGCAAGCAATGGTACTATAACCAATCAAAATAATTTGCCACATGGTAGTTACGATCCTGCCTCTGTATTTTTCCTGGAATTGATGATTAATGTAACATTGCAGAATCGTGACAGAATTCATTATTTATGGTAAGCAGTTTTGAAATCATTGTAAGAAATTTTTTTTTAAAAAAAAAAAGAAAAAATTATAATAATGACGATTTCAATTGTTAATTTTTTTTTTTTTTAAAGGCCTATTTTATTTGAACATATTACTGGAATTTTGAGAGAATCTCAAAATAATAGCATTTTGTTGGTTGAAAGGACCGTTGTGGCGTTATTGAGATTATGTATCAGATTAACTCACAAAGTAATGTGGCAAATTGAGTGTTTATAAAGACTTTTTTAATAAATAAAAAGTACTGATTTTTTTTTTTTAAAAAAAAATTTTTTGTAGGACGAAATGGTGAATGATATATTACAAGCATTAGAATTGTTAGGAGCGTTGCCTGAAGATGTGATAAATTCAGTTGGAGAGCAAATGATGGCTGGTATACTAAATTTAATAAAATCAGATGTCTCATACATTAGGTAAAGCAAATTATTCTTTTAAAATTCGGTATACATACTGTTTTCAAATTTGGTATTAAAATTCTCTCGTGATATAGAGGGAAGAAACCATGGGCGAACGTATTTATTTTATTTAAAGCAACAGTAACACACCCACAGGCGTCAAAATATTCATTTGAAGCGATAGCAACAATAATTAAAGAAAATAAGTGTATTAACAGGGACAACTTTAATGAATGTGTTGAATTATTAACAGAGTTTGCTTCGGGTGCTACTACATTAATGGAACAAGAATGTTCCGAACCTCCATCTCAAACTCGGAATTCTAGAGCTAGAATAAGTAATATTCAAGATGCTATTGTAAAAAGAGCACGTAAATCTGTTGAATTATTACATCAGTTGTATAAAGAGATCCCTAGATTATTAAGGGAATCCGACATTTCACCAAAAGAAGGTGAATAAAATTTATAATTATTATTAACTTTAATTTTGATTTTCAAACATTTTTTAATCGCGTAAATTTTTTTTTCTGGAATAACCTAGCATTGACATCATATTGGCTACCAATATTAACAGGATTAAGTCAACAATGTTATAGTCCATATAGAGAAGTAAGGCAATATGCATTATCATATTTACAAAGATCATTATTGGATCCAGAATTAGTATCACATGGAGTAACGGAATGGATATTGATATTTGATGTAGTATTATTTCCACTACTCGATCAATTACTTAAACCTGATATATGTAGAGGATTTGATAGTATTGGTATGGATGAAATTCGAATGAGAGCTTCAGGGTTATTATGTAAAATATTTTTACATTATTTAAATAGATTAATAGAATGGGGTGGTTTAATCAGTTTATGGAGACAGATTTTGGATGTTATGGAAAGATATATGACTACCGGCGATAATGATTCTTTGGTAAGTATTTTATTTTGGACTTTTTTTTCATTCGCACGCTTGTTAAAGGGTTTTTCTTCTTTTCATAATTTAGAGGGAAGCTGTACCGGAATCGTTGAAAAATATGTTATTAGTCATGTCAACGTCAGGAATATTTAATCGACCAGGAACAGCACCACAAACTACAAACACCAATTCTAAACCGCCAGTTGAATTATGGGACATCACATGGGAAAAGGTTGATAAATTTTTACCTAATCTAAGAGATGAATTATTTCCACCACCACCACCACCAAAATCTCCACCAAAATCCTCTTCAACGAAAAGATTATCAACAAATTCAACTTATAATTTAGGTGGTGATAATGGAATTGTTGTTGGTGTTGAGCAAACCATCGCTAATAATGTACAAAGTGAACAAGGTGTAGAAATTACCAAAACAATGTCAGAAAATAACAACAATCAAATTATTAAAGAAACTAGTAATAAACACAATGAAAGTAAGGATGATGTGAATAATGAACCGATAAATATTATTACTGTGTAAAAAAAAGTGATTAGTGGGTAGAAAATTTATTAACAAGTTATATAGGTAATTTTTTTTTTAAACAAAAAAAAAAGATTTATAGAAGAAATTTTGGTCAAAAAAAGAATAAAGATTCGACTAATTAATTACTGTAATAATTAATAGATAATAATTGACATTCGTTTAATAAATTAATTAATTTTTTTTTTCTTTTTTAAAAAATAAATAAATAAATATAAATCGGTAAAAATATAATTAAAAGAAAATTTTATATATTATGATTCAGCTTGCCATTGTGGTGTTGGTAATTTCATGATAGAATTTTCAAATATTTGCGTCTTATTCATTATATCAAATTTCGGTAATTGTATAATAATTCTATAGAGATTTGGATCATGACTTGTAATAATTTCAAAATTAATATTTCTTTGAATAAAATAATTAGAAATTTCATCACCAAATAATTCTAATATATCAAAACCATTTTCTTTGAATTTAAATGCTAAAGATTGTATCCTTTGTATCCGAGGTAAAACTGTATACTTTTTTGAGCCAGATACTTGTGTTGAAGTTGTTGAATCATGTGAGACTGAATTGTGATTGTCTTGAGATTGTAAGAATGTGAGTTCAATTTGATTTTTGAAATTACTACGAGATTCGAATATAACTTGATGTATCATTTGTATAAATAAATTAAGATTTTTCGTTGCTTCGTCAACAAAGTCAACTTCACACCTTTCAATGACTTCTTGATTCTCATTCACGATGGGTAAGGAATAAGGGATTTTAAAAAAATTTAGTTCTCTTATAATTTGTTCATGAGAAGGTTCAAATGGATTATTTTTTAATGGCCAAAAAACTTTTTTATAACGATAATATTGTAAGATGTATTTAAAACATGTCCAATCCCTATCAAAGAAATATTCAATTGGGGGTTTATCGAGTTTTTTGGATTTGGTTTTTTGTGTTGTCGTCGTTGTCGTTGTCGTCGTCGTCGTCGTATCTTGATAAAACATTTTACCTAGAAGTGTGTTTGGACATGATGCTAATGTTTTTCGATACGTCATAAACTAATTAGGTAGAAAGAAAAAAAAGATGAACAATTTTTAAAAAAAAAAATCGGGGGAGAAAAAAAAGTCTTGAAAATAAGATAAAATTTACTTACTGGCATACCACCAATATTTAACACGACCTTTTCTGATTCATTCATCTGTTTTAATTGATTTATAACACAAAATCCCAACAAATTTTCAAAACCTTTAGCAGATGGATTGAACTTTTGTTTTACTTGTTGTATATGATAAACCATTAAAATTGTTCTTAATAATTTTGAATTTTTCATGTTTTTGATTTTTTTAGAAAAAAAAAAAGAATTTTTCTTTCGAGAAAAAAATGGGTACAAGATTAATTTTTTTTTTTTTTTGATTGATTGATCGATCTCTTGTTTGTTTGGTAGCGGAAAAAATCAAAAAAGTTGTACAATTCTCACGTGTGTTAACTTAACTTAATTTTATTAAAAATATTATTAATTTGTACAAATTATGTGATATAATTTTTTTATAATTGTATTATGTGATAAAAAAATACATATATGAAATGTGATATATGCACAGATAAAGCTAGACCCATCTTAAACAATAACTTTGGAATCCCATTCTTAGGTTCTCTATTATATAAATAAAAGCAAAAAAAAAAAAGCATACTCATATCTCTTGTATGATAACATCTCAATTTCCACTTCGAATTAGATTATCAGGATGCACAAAAAGACTGTGCTTTAGAAATTTAGAAATGCGACAAAATCCGATGCTTTATCACGATATGCCGCTCATATTATATATAGCCTTTTCATGTTTTATAACTAAAAAAGGTTTAAATCGAGAAACTTATCGTTACGTGTGTTTAAGATCTATTAATGAGAATATGCCAATATATGTAACTAACTGAGTTGCCTTTCGAAATTCAAACACTAGTTTAAAATATTGTCGAAGTGAGTTTAATGTGAGCCAAAGAGTTTGGAAGGATAATCCCACGGAGAAGGCTAGGTGAAAATAAAGGACTACTTTGACAATAAAAATAAATAAATAACTGTTCACGAATCACTAACTAATTTATTATTAAAATTCAATATTAACGTTATTGAACAACTTTCTTCGTTAGGTTGTGTTTTATGATTATGCTTTCCAAAATATTCAAGTGAAAACGTGGAGAAACCCATTAAAGATTGCATTCTGTAGTTAAAAAGAGTCAAATTCCTTAAAAATTCATTGATTCATATTTGAATGAAATCCCGACATAAAAGTTTTCGGATTCCTCGCATGTAATAGTTTCTTCATAACACGTGTAAAAAGAAGACGGATGAAAATTGGTTTAGTAAAAAAAATATATATATATATCGTACATATAGATTTATTAAAATGAATTTTTGTATGAAAAATATTTTTCAATTCTTGTTTCCATCAATATTGATTAAATGCAAGATTTAATTTACAATAAAACTTACAAACTAATCATAAAGCAGTGCTGGCATTTCAAAAAATTCTTTATCCGCGGCAAATTGTCAACACAGTCATTTTAAAATTTGAAATTTATTTAGATGAAAAATTTGACTGCGACAATTAACAAAATTCCATTCAAGTAAACAACCTTCTGAACATCTTATTATTGCCTTTATTATTATAAAGTGGGAATACAGCATATTCGTGTCATATTTTATTGAGTTTTCACATATTGGCTCTCTTAAAAACGATTATATCTTTCCAGTATCGTGTCACGTAAAGTGGTTATCATGTGACTTTTATGACTTACAATCACGAATTTAATTTTTTTAAAAATTTTGCTTTCAAAGTTTGCTAAATGATACCGTTTCGTTAAAACTTCGAATTTGCCATAAATCAAGCCAAGCTTATTAACGAGGCATTACTAATTCTTCGAACATATTAGAATTTGTTGGGCATAGGACAATGAATTTTATTAAGAGATATCAAATAAGGATTTCAATTAATATATATACATGTACCAATCGATTGCTACCAAATAAAAAAGAAATAATTAAATCTAATTTCAGATGTCTCGGCAAATTTATCAGCAGCCAAAAATTCCTTAGTTACCTTTAAATTAATTAAACAATTTAACAATTTTTATTTTAAAGATTTTTTGTTAATTTTCATCTAACTATACCTTCTTTTATAATTTCGAATACCTCATAATCTTCTATTGAAAATATTTCTTCGGTATCTCTTATCGCTTTTTTATATTCACTTGGCAAACAATAATTATGATCATAATTTTCTTTATCATCAAGTTTATTTTCTAAACAAAGATCACTAAAAAATGTGGGACCACAAAGAGAGCTATAATATAATGCATTACTTCCATTATTCACATGACTTAAAATTGGATCTTTAAAATTATCCTTACTCTTAAAGGAAAAGATAAAACTATCTTTAGTTTCACCCCATTCATAACTATTATGAGCAGATTTCCATATTAAAGGGTTATATCCTCCAAGAATTTCTTCGGTTTCTTTTACTTTCACAAATGTGACTGTATGAGGTACATTATCACATAATATATGAAAAGTATTTGGTGTAAATCCATCTCTACTTCCTCTTAATATTAAGTTGAATTTATACGGTAAATATAATTCTCTTATGTAATCAAATTTTCTTTTAGTTTCAACCTTATCAATCCACCTTGAAATCATGGAAACAATGTTTAAGTTAACAATTTTTGTATCAATAATTTCGTCAATACTTCCATCAACATTTCTATATCTAGGAAGCAAAATTTCATCGCTCGGTTCACTATTAGGATCCAAGTAAGAACTTAACAAATCTTCATAAAGTTGGGATTTTAAAAGTCTTTTATATGGGTGAACTTTTTTAAAAAAGTCTTCAGAAGGCAAACTAAAAAATCTAATTAAAGGTAAACAATGTTGCAAAGTATTTTCCATTATCCTAAAATCACTATTTGACCAAGTTTTAGGATCTGAAATTAATGTCGGATTTTTTTCAAGACCCCACTTTAATACGTGATCCCAAACTTCAACTTCTTGCATTCGTAAGTCATCTCTTTTGATAATTGAAATTAAAGATTTTTCAGAAAGCGAGGTAAAATCAAGTGATTCAAATATTTTTTCAGGTGATTTGGTCATAAAATCTGTACAAAATCGTTGAAGTTCCAATAAAGAATTAGATTGGGAGCTTTTTTGATAAGTACGTACAAAATGTTGTTTCATCCATTCAGATTTGTTTTCAATTAAATATCTTTGTAAATATTCAACTAGTTCTTGAAGTAGCAGCTCATCAGCTGCGACCAAAGCTTTTAAAATATCCGAAGTTTCATACTCATTTGATGAAATGATTCCGCCATAAATATATCTTCATTATAATCATATAAAGGTCACTATAAATTTAGTAATATAACAAATAAATCATCATGATTGATAAATATAACTTACTTTAAAATAATTTGAAAGATTTCCGGTAAAATATTTGGCAACTTTATATGAGTTAAAGCGCTGACTTTATCAATTTTGTAGGAAGCTAATGTTTGTCGAAAAAATGGAGAACGGTAACACAATATAATCATGTGTGCACGGAATATTTTCACGTTTGGGTCTTCCCCAACTTCGATTGTAATATCAAAATATTTATCATCATCTAGCATTTCGATATAATTTTGGCTTAATTTAGGAAAAAATTGTGCTGACATTTTATAAATTTGAAAGAAAGTTATTTGGGAACAAAAATTTGTAAATCCGTAATTTTATTTTGTTCTAAATTTATTTGATCTTCCGAACCAATCAGAATTCAATCATTAAACGCAGAATAATAACAAATTTCTGCAAAATTTGAAAACTTTCATAATATTCTATTGATAGAGTTTTCTTATTACTTTATAGCAAATAATAATTATGACTATAATTTCTTTATCATCATTTGTATTTTTTTTAAAGTAAGATTAAGAAATGTGAGACCCTCCATGCTTTGAGTGATAATATGGGATCTTTGCAATAGAAAAGGGAAAAACTAACAGGAAAAATCAATTTTATTTTATATGCCAAAAATAATTTTAGGCTAAAATATATTCAAATTAGTATTAACTCATTTTTTATTTTTCTAGTTTTATCATAAAGGTTTTATATATATAATGAATTATCTGTGACTTAAGATTGGATATTTAAAGTTATTCTTTATTCTTACATATTAAAAGATTATAATTTTCAAAAATTTAATCTGTTCTTTTTATCTTAATAAATATAAATAACTTTATAAAGTATATTATCATATAATTTATAAAGCTTTTTAGGAGTGAGTAACAGTGTGTAAAATCTATGTGCACAATGTGCATATGTGCACATTAATTTTTTGTATGCATATATTACACAACATAAATGTGCACAAATTATTACTAAAAATAGATAAATTATATATAAAAAAGGTAACTTTACATAAGAAAATGTTATGATTTTCTTATTTTAGTAATAATTAAAGATGGTTCTCATAATTATTTTAAAAATTTTTAACTAGTTGCAACTTAAGTTGCAACTATTTATGAATTTTTATATTAAAATAAATTTACAAGGAGTTGCAACTTACCAAGTTGCAACTTCTTAATTATGATGCCCATCTTTAGTAATAATTAATCAATTTGTGCACATAAATTTTAACTTAGATTTTATACACTGATGAGTAAATTCATCTTGGCATTTTTAATAATAATTTAAATTTGTACTTACCTGATTTTATAATAAGAATTTTTCTAAGAAAAAATGAACATTTTTTACTAAAAATCAATCCAAAATTTAATTATTACTTATTAGAATAATTTATTATGAATAATATACATATCATTTCAAAGAAATGATCTTTAACCTTCTAATACAATACATCTTAATCAGATTATTATTCTAATAAAATAATTTATTATTTCATTCAGACAATATATATCTTTTTAATATAATGATTTTTTATTATTTTAATAGAATAATTATTGTTTAAATTAGATAAATTTATCATTTTATATGATTCTAAGAAATATTTTATTTTTTAGAATGAATTTTATTATTCTTTTAAAATGTTTTCATCTTTTTAAAATAAATTTTATTATTTTTTTTAAAATGATTTCATTTTTTTAAAATGAATTTTATTACTTTTTTAAGATAATTTTACTTTTATCATTATTTTTAAAATGATTTTATCTGTTTAAAACAAATTTTATCATTCTTCTAAAATGATTTATCAATTTTTTAAGATTATTTTTTCTTTAAAATGATTTTTATTATTTTTTAAAAAAGTTTATTATATGATTTCATTCTATTTCATTCTTTTAAATGAA